TAGGAAGGGTTCCGTTTTCCCAAGATGCTTGTGAGGAAGTCATGACTTGGCTAGCAGGTTGGGGACCATGTCACTTCACTGGGCTCTTCAGTGGTCTCATTGCAACTCATTTTCCCAAATAGACACTCAAGCTCTTTACAAAGGAGACCTGTGACTCCATTTCCCAACAGAGAACCCAGCTGCATTACACAGAATATCTGCGTAGCCTCTTTATTCCGCCATCTCTAAGTTTAAGCAGGGAAAAAGCAAAATCTAACATATCCTTACAAGTAAGACCTGAAACTGTTTTTATATCATGTCTAAATGCATGAGCAAATCATTCTGTGTAGGTCAAATGCACCCTTAGAGAGGTCAGAAAGACATGCGTTATTTTGTACAACAGTCAACTTGCTCCTTTCTTCTTCTTTTTTTTTTTTTTAAAACCCTTTTGGGAATTAAGGAGCGTACTCAAATTCACCATATAAAAGAGTACAATCATTTCTTAAGACAATCACCAGCTCAGCATCTTTTCAGTCAGTCTGTATTTATACTTAAAAACATAATCCAACAAATAAGTTCCACTGGGGTGGTTAAGTGCCAGCTAAAAAGCTTTTGTTTGACGGTATGGAACAACATCACACAAATTAAGGTTTTGTATGCAGTCAAGTGAAGGAGAAAGTAGTTCGGTGTGAGAACCACACATTGCTCCCATAAAAGTATATAATTGCACTCTCCCAGTAAAAAGATTAGTCCTCGACGGATTCTCAGGGATAAAAAATCCTATTATTTCCTCTGCACTAAGGAGTAACATCGTCCCATAATTACAGGAAAGCTGTGCATTAAATCATCTGCTCAGGAAGTACCATTTCCTAATAAGATGCAAACTTAAATCCACTCTCACCACATCTGAAATCAACACTACGTCCTCACCTCCTACTGCCCTCTTCTACTGGCAGTCCTGCTGACTCTAGCTCCTTCAGTAAGAGGCCTGGACCACAACCCATTAATTTAGAAATTCTCCCCAAGGCCCACTCTCAACGCCCTGGCCCCTCCCAGGTGAGACAGTCAGATTCAGGGACTTTATCAGATAAAAGGCAATAGCAGGAGAAAAAGCAGGTGTGGCATGTGCAGGTAGCTACAGTCACAGGAAAGCAATCAAATATTCTTAGGGCAAATTTTTGAAATCTACTGTGGCCATTAAACACTAGTGTGTCACCTTTTACAGAGATCACACAACAGATGGCACTCCTCTAGGCTGACACACGACTGGCTGTGTCTCTCAGTCTCAGGGGACTACTCATTACTTCCTGTCTTTTAAAAGACTTCACAGAGCCTATCAATTCCAGACTCCAAAAGAAAATTACCTCCAGACCTACCAGGGTCTTCCTTTACAGGCCTCCACAACACTACTTTGTTATTCATATGTGTATGTTATTGGTAACTGTAGAGATTCTTGGGCTCCAAGGGAGGAGTCTGGGGAAAGTACTCCAAACCCCTCACTTTGCAGATGGGCAGCACCAGACAGTGACTGGGGTAGGGTTTCAGAATAGCCCACGTGATTCTAGGAATACTCAAGAAGTATTTTGGCCTTATTTCAAATATCATCTTCGGCTTCCCTTCCTACTGGAAATGTAACACTTGATTCGGATTGTATATGTGGGCATCAACGCTGATGATAAGGAAACACTATTTGTTTTAAAACCCTCACACAGACTGAAGATACAAGGCATCCTCTCTTTCTCTAAGATTCATAAAAAGTGAGTCAAAATAACTGGCTCTTCAAGTATATTTCCTCTAACAAGAATGGTTTTCATTTCAAATACCATTAGTACCAGAAGGTTGAGCATTAGGACCAAAAGTCATTCCACCTGGAGACATACAAGTACAATTCTTCTCTGACCACAACATCTTTCAACTGAGGACCCCAAAATCCTTGTTAACCATATGAGCCACCCAGAGACTCCTATTGTTGTTGTGGTTGTTGTTAGGTGCTAAGTCAGCTCAGACTCATAGGGACCCTGGGAACAACAGAATGAAACACTACTTGGAGCTGGGCCAGCCTCACAATCCTTGCTGTACCTGAGCCCATCGTAGCATCCACCATCCCAAATCATCTTATTGAGGGCCCTTCTCTTTTTCACTGACCCACCACTTTACTAGACATGATATCCTTCTCCAGGGGGTGCTACTTTCTGACAACACTACCAAAGTAGGTGAGACGAAGTGTGGCCATTCTCACTTTCAAGGAGCATTCTGGCTGCACTTCTTCAAAGACAGATTTGTTAGTTCTTCTGACAGTCCATGACACTTTTAATATTCTTTGCCAACACAACTCAAAAGCATCCTCTCTTCTTTGGACTTCCTTATTCATTGTCCAGCTTCCACACGAATATGAGGCGAATGAAAATACCATGGCTTGGCATAGGAGCACCTTAGTCTTTAAAGTGGTATCTTTGCTCTTCGGCACTTAAAAGAGGTCTTTTGCAGCAGATTCGGCCATGAAGAGGAATGACTTGGCATTTGTGGTCACAAAGAATGTTTTCGAAACCCTTACGTGTTTCACGAAGCATAAAGAAAACGTTGGGGATGCAGAAAAGTCAGATCAGCTCTAGGAATAAGACAGATGGAAGGACGAGGCCCCCTAGCTTAGTGCTGGCGCATAATTGAATCCAGTCTCTTCTCTGAAGGGATAAGAAGTCTTCCTGCTAACTTCCTGGGAGAGAGAACCTGGGAAGTGGTTGACATTTCTCTTCACGGGGAGTTCCTCCCTTTCTCACATACCTCACTGGTTATGAGCAACAAGTCACAAACACCAACAACTTCTGAAGCACCAAATCCTTTCTCCCTCTCACTGCCCTAAAAAAAACTTTCATCCAGATTCGGTTGTTTTCCATTTGTCTACCTCTTTCTTAGTTCTTAGGAGTTTATCTCGTTTCTTCTTGTGCCTTCGCAGGCCATTTCTATGACCAAAATCACTTCCTCTAACACAGTACTCGTGTAGTTTCTAGAAATGCTTGTAGACTCCCTGACCTGCAGTTACCTCTCTCTCTCTCTTTTTTTAGCAATAATCATTTTATTTTGTATTGTCTGCCATTGCTTCATACTGTTAGTTTTGTTTCCCGAACTAGACTACAAAGTCCTATATTCCCCTGTAAGGAGCTTTTTTGGCATAGTGGTTAAAGCATTCAACTGCTAACCAAAAGGTTACCTCTCTTCATGCCCAATCCTGAACTCCAGAAAGGGACACAGAAAATGCCAAAAAAAAAAGAAGAGAGAGCAAGTTTTGGGGCTCCAACAATCTAGGTCACACTGTGGCTCTGTTCTTCACTGCTAAGTGGCCTCAGGCAAGTCCCTTCCTCTCTGAGCTCTGTTTTCCACACCTGTGAAGTAACATTAATATTTCCTGCTATGCAAGGTGCTTGTAAGGATTTCAGGTTACAGAGTTCCTCATGGAGTGACTACAACATGCTGCACATTGGGTACATATTAATAATTACTACCATGACCCTCAATCATCTTGCATTTCAGGACACATGTACCTTTGGAAACGCTGCCCTGTCTGTCACATTTGTGGACACGGCCCTGGGCCCCTGAGTCCATGCTGAAAGCCGTCACTGTAGATGTCTCCTCAGCGGCATGTCCTTTATCACCCATCAGATTTAACTCTGACACCAAACTTCCCACTGGACCTTATTCCAATGTTTTACCAAAAATACACTCCTGATGCTTTCTAAGAGTGGCTCTCATACCAGGGTGACCATTAACAAGTTGGGTGCTTCCTAAAACTATAACCTCTGAAATGTGACCCCCCCCATATGGCTTAGTTCACTAGGTGCTAAGTAAACAAAACAAAACAAAAAACTCACTGCCATCGAGTCGATCCAACTCATAGCAACCCCTCCTTGGGTTTCTGAGGCAGTATCTCTGCAGAAATAGATTGCCCAACCTTCCTTCTGAGCAGTGGCTGGTGGGCTTGAACCGCCAACCTTCTGGTTAGCAGTCAAGTGCCTTAGGTACTATGCTACCAGAGCCAGGAATGTTCCATAAGAAAGCTGATGACCTAATGATCTGTGAGATTCTGGAACCACTGTTTGTTTATGATCCCGTAACTTTTTCCTCCTCAGAGAAATAGCTGCCAACTAGAAATTACCTTTTTGGCTTCTAATTAGCAGCACCTGCTCTGTGAACAGTACTCCCTTCCTCCCCTTCCTTCAAGTGATAGTCAGTCCCACCCATTGGTCTTGCCAAAAAGAAACAAAACATGCCCAGGACATAGGTAACCCAGCAGGCACTAAAGCTTCTGGATTTGCACAGGAAAACTTCTATAAACAGCTTCATTTCTCATTATTAGTTTACCTCATGCGGGGATTTCCACGGGCACAAAAAGGCTCCCCCAATGCCAAGTGCTGTATTTTCTTGTGGATCACTGAAACCTAATTATTAACAGGCCAGTCAGCCCCACCACTAGACTTTCATACAATCAGCAGATCACAAAGATGGAGAACAATGGCACAAAAAGGCAAATCCATTTCATTGTCATTGCTCATTAGTGTTACAACAGCGAGTTTCCCTGGAAAACAGAAATCCTTGGCCAGGCACTGTTCACACGCAGACAACGATTTTCAGCATCTAAGAACCTTGAAATGCACAGTGTATGTGATCCAGTCCTTTTGTCCTATAAGACAGTGTACCTTAACCATCCTAAGACTTTGGTTTGCTCTATTAGTCAGTAGTATCAGCATCAACTTTGTTATACAAAGCATGGCAGACTGAAAGGGTCCAACACAGAAGATTCAAACCATGAAGGAAAAAAAAAAGAGAAAATATCACGGCTTGGTTGTGTGTTCTTTTAGGTTAAGTGCATTCAGAGAGTTTCAGCAACCACACAGCTCTCCAGGGAAGCCAACATCAGCATCCCCTGAAGGGTATCTTCTCTACCTGCTAGGAAGGACCACCAAGGATCAAGCATAGGAAAAAGGGACTTAGCAACCACAGACAAGGACCAGCCCCAGCGTCCTCACCTGTCTCAGTCCCTTGGGCATCTTCTTCCTCTTCCCGAGATGCTGGCAGAGATTACGGTCATTTTCCCGATCGGAGCCACAGTGATGCGGGTGGCTGAGCCTGCTCTTCTTGGTGTGAAAGGACAAGCCATTGGTAAGTGCTTCTCGCTTCTTCTTGGTCAGAGGGGTCTGGCGTTTCTCCACACGTTCCTGAGGCTTAAGTGCTACATCTTTCTGTAGAAACGAAGGAAAGGAAAGTGGTGGTTACACAGGCACCTAGGGTCAGACCCAAAACACAGGTTAAATTAAGTGACTAAAAAGAAAGAAGGGGATAAAAGGGGAAGGGGAGCAGGGAAGTCAGATGTGAGAAGACCTAAAACTCAGAATCATGGCTCTCAATTTTTCTGAATCAATTAAGCTACCACAACCGTATACTTCTTATTCTTATTGGACAGAAAAAAAATCAACAAAACATCAGGTATCTGTCCATTAAAAGTGATTTCGTGGCAGTCTGGGATAGTGGCTTTCTGTTTGATTCTGTCCTGGGGCCAGCACACAATGACACTCCCCAAGGAGGCTCAATACACTCACTTCCCAAGATGCTCCATCAATTACGGTTCAGAAAAAGAGTACTAAGTGCACACTCGATTCTAAAGAAATAAGGCAAAGCTAACATACCAGGGCCAAGTGGATGTGAGCCAGGAAGAAAGAAACTGTCGATTCCTATGATTAAAATGTTTCCTTAATGCATTGTATTTCTACCACATTTCCTCTGAGTATCCTTAATTCCCCTCTTCTTTGCAAAATGTAACAACAATATTATCACCGAGATCAACAGCCCATTTTCATTATTCCTGTGTGTGGCTGGGGGAGGGAGGAAGGGGAGGAGACCAGCATCAGATGCCCTGGAATGAATGAAGCAGGGCATCCGCAGCAAGGGCAGGTCATTATGGCTGGGACACGGTCAGGCAGAGTTCTGTGCCTGCAGTCCACGAGGACACGCTGAGATACTACAAGACCTAGGTTCTAGCCCTGGCACCCCCATGCCTCATTCCAAGACTCAAAATAAGTCTCTGGCGACTCTGAGCCCTTTTGCAAAACGGAGAGGTGCACCTTTGAGAACCCCAGGTCACCTGGTGCGTGTGGGTGTTCTTGGAGCCCTGGGCAATGCTGTACACATTAAGTGCTTGAATACGGAGGGTCTGGAGCAGTCTTTTGTAAGGGGGTGTGGATACGGCCCTCCTCACACTATCAATGCCCCTTCACAGACCTGCACACCTGTACAGATTGTGGTCTGGGTTTCTGCGGTCCTAAACCCACATTTGAAAATCAAACATAACAAAAATAAAAATGGCCCTTCAGTCATTTCTCATCCTCAAAATACCACTCTCTCTCCCATCCCCTTCATATGCAATATTCCTCAGTCGTCCGTTCTCCAGCTCCCAACATCCCAGAAGGTTCCACCTGCCATACATGGTGATGCTCTATGCCTCCCCCCACACCAGCCATGCCTATTTGTTCAGGACCTTAGGCACTGAACTCCTGCCTTGCCTTGGCCTTAAAGCCTCCCTTTCACACCCCTGGTCTTCCCCGGGACTCTGGGTCCTCCTCCTAGTGCTGTCCACTCAGGGAGACTTTTCTTAGAAGGCACTGCACTCGTTCTCAGGCATTCACTCATTCGATGTGTGTTTTCTGTGTGCCCAGTACACGCCAAACTGTACTTTCGGGACAGGCTGCGAAAGAATGGGGGGGTACCCTTATAAAGCTTAGTATTCTAGGGACAGACAAGTACTAATCAAACAATACAAATGTATAATTGCAAACTGAACAAAGGCTCTCAAGGAAAGGCAAAGGAGCCAAAGCTGGGTCCAAGGAAAGGGGCTGAGGAGTGACGGTCCTCGGGCCGAGATCTTGGAGTCTGAGCAGAGCAGACAGCTTGAAGGCCCTGAGCAGCTGTGAGCATGAGCTCGGAAGGCACGTGACAGAGGGCAAGGACGAAGCAGCATTCAACTTGCAACCCCACCATTTCTCACACAGAGCCAGGCAGTTAGACGGCGCTCAGTAACTATCTGCCAGTAACAGGAGATCACAGGACAGAACTTGCAGAACCAACGTCAGGAACTGGATAAAGCACCCAACCCTACCAAGCCCAGCTGACTCTCGCACACAGCGGAGCACAGAAGAAAAGCTGACAGAAGCGCAAAACGAGCCCAGTGGGCACGGCTGGCACGTGTGCAGGACCACAGCAAACAGCGAGATGCCCCGGAAAGGGGAAAGGACCCTGCCCTTGGAGCAAGAAGACATCAAACACACCAACCTTGTAAAGCAGGTGAGCGGCTTCTGGTCTAACCTCTAGCAGTTACTACTCCCGACAACTTACTCTCTGCCACTGGCCAGGCAGCTCTCCTGAGGCAAGGGGGGTATGGCAGAGACACAGATTTAGGGGACAGGCTCAGATCTAAACACATGCACGTCACCCTTGACTGCACAGTCCCAGACCGCTGCACACTATGCCCACCACGTGGTTAACAGTCAATAAACATTTGCTAGATTGAATTCCTTCATCCAGTGTCCACTATCACATGCCAAGTCTCTACCTGCTCAGTGCAAAATGCCCTGTGTTCAGCCTAACACTAACCAAAGTAGTCAGGTAATATGAAAAGCCTCTCAGAAATTACAGCAACTCTAGCTGAAACTCTTTTATCTTTTTTGGACTACTAACCAAAAGGTCAGTGGTTCAAACCCACCAGCCACTCCACGGGAGAAAGAGAAGGCAGTCTGCTTCTGTAAACATTTAACAGCCTTGGAGACCCTATGGGGCATCCTACTCTGTCCTCTACAGGTGTTGTGAGTCAGAAATGACTTGACGACAATAGGTTTGGTTTGGGCTTTGCTTCTGTAAAAATTCACAGCCTTCGAAACGCTATGGGGCAGTTCTACTCTGTTCTATAGGGTCTCTCTAAGTCAGAATCGACTCAATGGCAGTGGGTTTGCTTTTGGTTAGCAGAAGATGAGTTTCCTCATTGGTGGTCTCTAAATAATATGGTTAAATTGTACCATTCTAAGAATAATATAAGGAGCTCTAGTAGCATAACAAGAACAACAGTAGCATAGTGCCTAAGGCATTTGACTGCTAACCAGAAGGCTGGAGGTTCAAACCCACCAGCCGCTCATCGGAAAGAAGGTTGAGCAATCTACTTCTGTGGTGACACTGCCTCCAAACCCAAGGAGGGGTCGCTAGGAGTCGGGTTTGACTCAATGGCAGTGAGTTTGGGTTGGTAAGAGTAATATAAAGAGCTTTGGTGGCATAATGCCTAAGGCATTTCACTGCTAACCAGAAGGTCAGCGGTACAAACCAGCCACTCTGCAGAAGGAAGATGGGGCAATCAACTTCCATAAAGATTGACAGTCTTGGAAACCCTATGTGGGTCGCTATGAGTCAGGATCGACTTGATGGCAGTGAGTCTGGTTTCTTGGGTAAGAATAATACAAGGAACTCTGGTGGTACAGTGAGTAAGGCATTTGGCAGCTAACCAGAGGTCAGGTTCAAACCCACCAGCTGCTCCATGTAAGAAAGACGGGACAATCTACTTCCATAAAGATTTACAGCCTTCGAAACCCTATGGGGGTCGCTGTGAGTCAGAATCAACTTCATGGCAGTGTGTTTCGTGTTGCTTTAAGAATAATACATAAATCCCCTACAGGGTAAAAAAAAAATCTTTGTCACACAACCCACCTACTGCCTTGCATTATGTGCATGCAGAGTATCAAATTAATAAACAAATGATATTTAATCATGTATCAGCTGTGCTTTTAAAAAAATTATGCCATTCTCTTTGGAGACCCAGTACCCTTTCATACTGAAGGTGCCTCCAAAGTATATTGAAAATTATGTGCAATTCCATACAAATGTGAATTAATATTTATGAGAGTATGGTATGATTTTTCCAAATCCATTTTATTTTCATGTAGCATATTAATGAAGGCATTTCCACTGCACTGTAGAGTAGCTACACAGAGCAAATGGACCCCATGCCGTGACATTAGCTTGCAAGAGACCTGCCGAAGTCTTCGTAGCAGCAGCACAATCATCTTCGTTCCAATTAATACTGAGATTTTCAGCTGTGGAGGGTGTGGGAAGAGAAGAGAGAGGGAATCAAGCACATGTAGAGGGGTGAGTGGCTCAAGAAGAGGTAATGAAGACTCTCGAAAAAAGTTTCTATGAGTGAACAGGATTACATTTCTAAAGACTGTAGACTGTTTCTATTCTTCCAAAGATGCATTTTTATTTATAAATGTATCTAAACCCTTTGATACAAATCTTTAATAAACCAGGCTATGGCATTTGTCCATTTTCTCTGTGAGCATTTATTGACTGCTTACTATGTATAAAGTAAAATAATCATTTAACTTTTCATTGATGGTCTGGAGGGAGGAATAACAAAAAATGGCCAACTATCAGCAATGAGAATCAAAGACAAATGGAATGATTACAAACAAACCACTCACTTTACCAGCATTCAGAACAACTGTGTACATGATTGTGTACATGTATTTGTGTATATGAAGTTCTTTGGAGCTGCAAAGGATTAACACACTGGGCTATTAACTCAAAGGTTTGGAAGTTTGAGTCCACCCAGACATGGACTCTCAAGTCCTTCCAAAAAATCAATCCCTGAAAATTCCACAAAGCACAGTTCTTCTCTGCCATACCGTGAGTTGGAACAGAATCAACAGTGGTTGTTGGTGGTACATGTATATAGATACATACTTATCCAATCCAACAACAACTAGCCAATGGTGTCTTAAACAATCACCTTAAAGAAAGTTGGGCAGTTTCTACAATACTGCTACCACATGGCATCGGCAAAGTATATTGAATGTACCGTGGGATTCCAGAAGGACATACAAATCTGTCTAGGATGAAACACAGCTAGAATCCTTCTTAGAAAGGAGAATGGTGAGACTTGGCCTCTCGTACTTTGGTCATCTTGTCAGGAGAGACCATTCCCTGGAGAAGGTTAACACTTGGTAAAGTGGATGGTCATCGAAAACAAGGAAGACCCTCTGTGAAACGAACTGACACAGTGGCTGTGACGACGGGCTCAAGCATAGCTGTGACTGTAAGGATAGTGCAGGACGGGGTAGTGCTTTGTCGTGTTGTACACAGGGTCAGGTCACTATGATTGGAACCGACTTGACGGCACCAAACAACAACAACATAACACTGCAGT